ACCAAACTCAACACAAATAGAATAAACAACACCACACCTGGTGCTGAAATATTCTCATACAAAGGTGACCAAGTAGGTGTCAAAATCTCTGGGGAAATGAGCATGGTAAGGGTGCCAACCTCCTACTTCTGCCTCTCTGTTTCATTAATAAACAGTTTTAAATTATTCAAGTAAATGATGCTTCTGTAAAAGAGCCCTCCGCAGTTTCCCCATTTAGATTCCAAAGATTTTTAAATGTTTTTTTTCAGCTACTGGCCTGCAGTGAATACAATTGATCATCATCAGCAATCAGTTAAAAATAACCTCACACTATGGATATACAACAGAGTCTGGAACATAGTTTTTGGGATGTAATGCTTTGATGTAAGGACATGGTTGTGTGCTGCATGGCGAAAGGCAGACCATTTGCTTTCGCATGTCTTTTTTATATAGATTATTTTCATCCAAATCTTTTAGTTCAGTTGGGTGAAACAGAGGTTGGTGCTGAATAACAAGTATGCATGTTGCTCATTTTTATATGACATCCAGAAATCTTTTCTCAAGGCAGAATTTCAGCTGAAGGGATGCTGATTTCCATGCTGCATACAAAGCGAACGTGTAGTCAATGGAAAACATTGTTTTCTTCCACCCACATTTCCAAGCAGTAAGGAGCTCCATAGTTGCAATGCATATCATATTTCACTTTCTTCTGGAAAGAGGCTTATTAGCATTTTGTAGCAGTTGTACTTGTTTATTTACCATAACTGTCTAAATGTGTTTTGCTGCCTCAGTTGGAGCAAGCAATGGTAGCCCCTACCCACTCAGACCAAAAAGTATAGTTCAGTACAGCTATGTTAATAAATGATGCAAGAAGTCCACAGGCATATATCTCAACCTCTGACAGTAAAATGCAATAGTACCAATTGAAATAATTAAGAATTTGCTGTGCATTCATTCTGCTACACAGCTGCTGCTTAGAATCATTTCTGCACTGTAACTAATAGAAAAGTGTGCCTTGTAATCTAAAAGTACAACAGGTTGAGCGCAGCTGCAGATTATATCACCAAATTAACTTTTTTCTTAACTGACTGCAATCAAGTCAACTTTGCTTTTTGGCAATCCCAAGAATGAGAGATTGTTTGGTCCATTCTTTAAAAACTTTAATATCCTGCCTGAAGGAAAAAGGCTTTTAGCCTGCTGCTGGAAGGACAACAGGGAGGGCACCACCAAGAATTCACAGAGGCCAGGGGCAACCACTAAGAAGACCCTCTGTTCCACCACTACTTCCAATGGTGCTGGAATTGAAGGACCTTTCAGAGTCCATGTTGGCTAATATAGGGAGATATGACATGCCAAATAACCAGGCCGTGAGCTAAATAGGGCTTTATAGCCTTTGCTTTGAAATGAGCCCAGAAACACATTGGCAGCAAGTGGTGTTGTTGTAATAGGGGAGTTGTGTGCTCTCTTTAGCCAGCCCCAGGTAACGGTAGGACTGCAGCTCTTTGGACCAGCTGAATTTTCCAACATTCTTCAAAAGCAGCCCTAAATAGATCGAATCACAGTAATCCAAACAAGATGTTATTAATGTAACTACTAACTAAGGTATGTACCACCATAGAGATGGCTCCTAAGTGTGTGTGTGTGTGTGTGTGTAGAGAGAGTGAGAGATCACCACCCTAAAAATATAGTGAAAAAGTATTAGAATCTAGAAAAAAATGAGAAAGGACGTGGAAAGGTTAAGTTTGAAAATATTGCAACTTCTAACAACACAGAGCTGTTCTGACTCTTGTTTGTCCTTCCCCCTGCTATCTTAAACCATGATGTATTGGATATAACCATATAATCAATTTAAAAATTTGCTCATTATAATTGAGGAATCAGAATATGCTTATTCTATGAAGAAATTTTTAAAAGGACAAAATGTATTTTATTAAGGTCCCTTATGCACTGTCATATAATCCAGAACATCAAATCAGATAATCCACATTATCTGCTTTGAACTGGATTATCTGAGTCTACACTGTGAGATAATCTAGTTCAAAGCAGATAATCTGGGTTTTATGCAACTCTGTAGAAGGGGCCTAAGATGTAAGGAGATAATTAATGTGTATACTTGTGGTCAGCAGTAGTCTCTAGACTGGCAGGAATGCTAATCTGATGAACTGTGAATATCGACAGCATATGAAATCATCTTTTATGAGATAAGACTTTCAAAACTCCTGGTAACCACAGATGGTCAAATTAACAAACTTGTCATAAAACCTACTAAATTGTATTTGTCACCCTTTATTTCTGCTTTGTTCCTTGAGTAGGGGTACCTTGATTCTGACATTAATGCCATCAGTTTTGTACAACTGGCCCACCACATTTGTGGATTTGACTTTTGTGGATTTGATAATTCATAGAATTGATTAAATGTTCTCTCTAGGAATCTTGAAGTCCTTCAGTGTGGCTTTATGTCCAATTTCCTCTGCAGGTTGACAGTAAAGTTATACTGGAGGACCTAGAGATTCCGACAGACGAATATTTCTAAAAAAAAAATCTAACTCCTCCAGTGTGATTCTATGGTCAGCTTCCAGAAGAAGTTGACCATAAAGTCATGCTAGATGACCTATAAATTCCCAGAGAGGTATTCTCCCAGGTTAATTTTTAAAACTGTGGTTTTTCACATTCACAGGAGTCTTGTGTTCCTAATTCTAGCAAATGTGGAGGGCAGGTTGTAGTTGTTCATACTTCCAAGAATTATATCCTAAAAATAAAACCATATAGAACGTAGAGTGAATGCTGGGTGTCTCATGAAGCAATAATCCATAAGTAAAAATGTTTTGAAGGGTTTTCTCAGCATCTCAAGGACGCAACAAAACCCACACTCTTTATTGAATCTTTATATATGTGCCTGATGCAAAGCTGTCATTTTAAGTAACATAGATAGCTGAAGTTGATTCAGAGCTGTTTTCAGGAAATGGCTTTTGGTCTATTGGCAAACATAGCTTGGTAGTATATTCATGACAATTTTATTCATGTGTTGATATACCTGAGTGTATAAGGCCAAAAAATCAAGGTGACCACTTTCTATGATGCATTATAGACCAGTGGTTCATAAATAGATGACCTTGAGTGGGCAGAATGCAATTCTAAGAACTCTCAATTCTTGCTCATGTTGATTCAGATTTCTGGGAGGTGAAATCCAGCAACATCTTGGGGTTGATGTTTGTGAATCACTGTTCTTAGAAAATATACAAATGCTAACAGAAGGAGCAGTAACAACACTATGTAGAATGCTCAAAGGGCCAAATCACATGTTTTGCACAACACCTTATATAACTTTCCTCTGTCTCAATAACTCTCTTTCCTTCCCCTTCTTACCAGGCAAAGGAGTTTCGTTCATTGAAGGGGCTACCAGTTTGTATAGCTGGCTTAGCCCAATATCAGACAGTTTTTCCACTAAGACCTACGTGCCATGAAGTTCTATCTATAAAACGCTACGTCACATAGATTCCCAGTTGCACATACTCATTTTTTTTTGCAAAGAATCTGTGCACAGTGAGTGGGTGGATGAGAGCAGGAAGGAAGTGTGTTATATCACACAAGCCCCTCAGCCCTATTTCTTCTGCAATCCATTTTGCATGAACCATATGTGAAAGGGAAGGCACACATTTGGAAGAAAATGAACTGTGGGAGGTTGGAATAATGAGCAGAGAATTGGAAGGTGATGGTTAACCGTCTTACATCAGACTATTTTTTTTGTTCAAGACCACCCCCATCCTCTCCTCTTCCTCCTCTTTAGAATTCCTTTTTCCACCACAAAGTTGGAGCAATTGGAGGAAGAACATAGCCCTGTGTAAAGGTTTAATTAGCACCATCATTATGCTGAATCAAGATTCCAGATTTACGTGTCTGCTTGCATTCAAAGCAATGTGTATTAAAAAAATTACTCACAATTGTGTTTGGTTTCCATCAGTTCACATCACAACCCTATTAAGTAGCAATCATCATCCTTTCACAGTAACTCCCTCTGAGTTTGTCTTGATATGAATGGTAGAAATGGGAACAAGCAAAGTGAAAACACAACAAAACCATTGATTCAAATAAGTGAAAATGAGGGTATCATTTATATAAAATTGTTAACATAGAAGACCTCTGCCAATTTATCATGACTTCCAGGATCCTCAGTCATCAACTCTCAAGTTTTGCAAACTCAGGGCCCAGAGCTTGATTGATTGAATCAATCCACCTATACTGTGTTTTCCCTCTTTTCCTCTGCCTTCTACTTTACAAAGTGTTATTGTCTTCTCTAATGAGTCATTTCATCTCATGATACATTCACAGTACGACAACCTCAGCTTAGTCATTTTGGCTTTGAAGAAGAATTCAGTCTTGATTTGCTCTAAGATCCGTTCCTCATGTACCTTTGGCAGTCCATAGTAGCTATTGAATTTCTGCCTATTATCTTCCCTGTCCAGCTTTCACAACCATACAAATAAATTGGAAATACAGTGAAGATTCAGTCTTTGATTTTTAATAATAACATGGAGAAAGTTAGTTAAAATTTCTATTCTCTTCATCACAAGTTCCTTGTGAGTTCTTACATGTTATATCTATATTACAAGCAAGGGACTAAGCCAATAAGTTGTCTACAGATATAAGCCTTTATAAGTTTTTATAATCTAAACCACTTATGGGGGTTCAGCAAAAATGAAGGCAGTAAGAAAAGAGGAATATTGCACTACAGGTGGAACTGATTCAATAAAGGCTCTAAGTTTACACTTGATGACTTGTGTCCTTGGATGTCTATCATTCATAGGATCACCATTAGCCAGCTAACTTGAGGACACATGAAAACAGCAGATTGGGTTTCAGAGCCAAACCAAGAATATCCAAGGAATTTCCTGGGTATTTACTCAGTCTCTATAATACATGAGTTTTATGTTAAACTACTCAAAGTCACTTAAATTACAATCTTGGCTCAGGTTTTAATAAGATCATATTGACCAAAGCTCACTTTTATGCTTTCTTTACAGCTCCTAGCATGGCAAATGACAACCCTGAAGAAATCCCAGCCACAGAAGCTCCTGAGACTGACCAACATATATATGACCCAGTGTCCTGCCCTGACAGAGTGGAGCAGAACCAGCGACTGGCAGTTGAAGAGCTCATCAACACAGAGATCAGCTATGTACATAATCTTCAACTGTGCATTTCAGATATACATAGACACCTCCAAAATAAGCAGGTGAGAAAAAGAGAACTAAGCCTCAACATATTTATTTGGAAATAAATGTTTAAAATGCAGCAGTACATTTAAAAGCCTCCGCGGATTATCTTAAATTGTATAAACAGAAATGCATTTCAGAGATGAAAAAAGTGAAGCGTTCAATACTTTTAGTGACATTCAAAGTTATGTGTTGGTAGTACAGAGGGAAAACTGACAGAGAGATAATTTGACTGAATATAATCCATATGAGAGGATACTGCACATTGTGGGCTGCGATAGTACATAATTTACAAGCAGTTTTTATAATGTTCTGTAATTCTTTCAGCAGGAACAGAGAATGCATAGATATTCAGAGGTTTTCTTGAAGATTACTTTTGGATCTTGTTTCCATAATGTTTCTTCCATAGTTTATAATTTCCAGAATCCTTAGACAATGTGATCAGAGAAGTCTGGAAATAGTTCAGAAAAGTAACTTTCCAAATTCTGAATTCCTTTAGTAGGCACTCAGGGGCTACTGACTCTAATAGCTCTCCAGTTCTTTGCATTAATTTTGTAATAACTTGATCTACTTCTCTGCATTCATAAAATAAGCAGGTATTTGAGATAGTATTGGGAGAAGAGATGGAAGAGACTAATCATTATGCAAGTCACTTTCTTGTATAAAATAAAGGCACATGCTTAGCACGGAATAGGACATTGTGCACAGTCCTGTTGTGTTTTTCAGCTGCCTGAACTCAACCTGGAAGATCTGTTCTCGAATATTGATGATGTTCTACAAGTTTCCAAACATTTCCTACAAGGACTTGAAGCTACAGTGAACCAGGAACATGATCAGCTTTTTCGTATCAGTGAGTGGGAAAATGCCTATGGCTAAGATCATAGATCAGTTAGGCAGAATATCAAACCACAAGAGAGACTTCTGCTGTTTGTGGTGGAGAGGGAAGGGGGGGGGGGCAACTTTGTGATGAAGGAGCAGGTGGTCATGGCTCAGAGGGATTAAAACAAAACCAAAGGTGTACTTACACATGGTATCTTTTTCCCCCCTTCCCCTTGGAGCCCGGACCAGCTCCATATACACTGTCTAAATTGTCTCCTTCATATCTTCTCTTATTACTGGCCAACAGCAACAGCTTGATATCTTATGGTATACAAATACAGTGAATAAAATAAATTTTGAATGCGAGTCAGTCTGTATTAGGTAAGGTTACACTCCCGCTGAAAACCCAGGTTTGCAGTTTGTGGGTGCTCCTGGATTCGGCTCTGAACCTGGAGGCCCAGGTATCAGTAGTGACCAGGAGTGCATTTGCACAGTTAAAGCTAGTGCACTAACTGTGTCCGTTCCTAGAGAAATCAGATCTGGCCATGGTGGTACATGCTTTGGTTACATTCCAGGTGGCCTACTGTAATGCGCTCTACATGAGGCTGCCTTTGAAAAGTGCTCGGAAACTTCCATTGGTCCAATGAGCAGCAGCCAGACTGCTAACTGGGGCTGGCTACAGGGAGTGTATAACTCCTCGTTTACGACAGCTCCACTGTCTGCTAACATGTTTCCGAGTGTGTGAGAGATAGGAAAGTTAAAAAAATAGGTAGCTGGGAAGAAGGAAAGTTGGAGCAAATACAGTACTAAATCGACCATAGATGGGGGGAAAAGATAACACAGGAAGAAGACCAGGTGGAAAAGTAGGCTAGGGGTGGGGAATAGAAGAACAGGGAACTGGGTAAGAAAGGACCAGCAAGGAAGGATCTTCTGAAGAAATCTCAATGCACTCAAGATGAAGGGGAGCAACTGTGCCATATAAAAGGGAGAAAATATTGATGGACAGATAGTTGAAGTCATAAAGAGGCTAAGGGAATTAGGACAAGGTAGGCAGTGACATGAAAAAGAGAAAGGATATAAAAGAAGCAATGAGTTATGAGGGTAAAAGTTTTTTGAAAAGTGGCAGTAAGCGCGCGCCGGGGGGGGGGGGGGGGGACTAAAGCCTAGAAGAGCTATTGTTGCACCGCAGGTCTTCACCTTGCTCAAAGCAATCACTAGGAAACCAGACATGGTAATAAACAGTTTATTGATAAAACACATATAAGAAAGGGCCAAAGGCACCTTAAGCAAATAATAGAGTAAAAATCCAAGTATGCCTATAGAAAGCAAGTCCTATAGGCAAAATGTAAATCCAAAAACACTAGCTAAAACTTGAACACTAATCCAGCAAACAAGGAACAAAACAAGAGCATGAATCCATAGGTAAATCCTTAAAGCAGGAAGCAAAACTTGACTAGGAATCTTGGGCTGTGAGCTTAGAGCATGAACCAGGAACAGCATAGGAGTTTCCCACTCCAGTAGCAACGTTGCTTGATCTGAAATCCTCACAGCTCTCTCATTTAAAGACTGCAAAACATGAATGCATTCTTTTGACCTCGAGAGACCCACTTCTGCCTCTCCTTCCCATTGCTTTGCTTGCACCCGAATTTCTTCCCCTGCATGAGCAGCCTGGTATCTCTGTCTAAGCCAGCTGTTTCTTTGGATGAGCTCATGTTATCCTCCCTTCCCTGCCTGTCAGCTTCCAAAGCAGTTTCATTTCCACACTCAGAAACAACATCTTGCTCCAAGACCTCTTCTGTCTGGGCACCCACAGAACCATCAGGCCTTGAGCCCCCAAACCCCTCATCATCAGCAACTGGCTGAACTACAACAGCTATACTCTATGCAACTTCAAACAGGGCATGGCCGTTTTCCTTTTCTGCGCCTGCCAGTAGGCCATATAGCATGTTTCAGCACACCTGAAGTTACATGGTGTCTTTTCTGGCTGCCATTTTGGCCAATTTTTAACCACTCCCCCACTTTTTTGGAATGACAGGGGAGAAAACTGTTGCCTTTTGAGAGATTGGGGTTATTTGGATGCAAGATGTTCAAGGGACTTCTGCGAGAACCTGGAAGCCATATTTAGGGGCCTCAAGGGCTAAATGTTGTCTGCTGGATTTCATTTTGTGCACATGCTCTATTGTCTATTGTTCTCTGTCAGGAAAGAGAATGGTCAGGGAAAGTAACAAATCATGCAATGGCAAAATTACTAGGGTAAAGTTTTAGAATAGGGAAAAACAACTTCCACAAATGAGAAAACCATATTGATTGTACTGATGGCTGTAGCTCCTGCTGCCACATTTTGTGCCTTCTGTCTGTTTTTCTGTGTACACATAGACACACTCCATGACTGCTATCCATTGTATCTACCATGTCACTAGCACATTAAAGCCAAAGTCCTCAATTTGCCTTTGAAAGAAGGCACGCGGGGAGGGTGTCTTTTAAAATAAACTGATGGACATTATTGGAAAGTTTTCAGTGGTGTGAATCACTCTCCAAACACACTGTATGTTTCCTAGTTTAAGGAAGGTGACAGGTTTATTTCCTGCCATGACTGTAAAAGTGGAGAGCTTGCAAAAAGGTAGCTCATAGCCATATATTGCCCACCTGGATTTAGCCTGCAACAGGGAAATTGTGGCTTTTACCGTCACTTGTAAAATTGCAAGCCAGCAACTTCGAGAAACTAGCAATGCTCAATAAACAGTGGCTGATAGTTAATCAACTCTGCCAAATTCTAGCCACTAGTTAGTTTTTGATTTAATTAGCCAAATATTACTGCAGGTCTCAAATCTTTTCAGTAACATGTGAACTTTCCCTCATATATTCCGGATAAATATGGAAGAATTAATTGCAAAGGTTTGAGGACAATTTTGTAATTATTGCTTTGATGGCCTTTGATATTTTTCATGGGCATCTGTCATGGAAATCTGACTGAATCATTGATGTTACTGTCTTATAACTTGGCCACTGTAGGCACCTTATTCCAAGACTTCAAAGAAGAGATGGAGAATGTCTATAAAGTGTATTGTGCCAACTATGACCAAGCTCTACTATTGCTGGAGATTTACAGGAAGGATCCAAGATTGCAAAAGGAGATTATAGATACACTTATTTCCACAGTGTAAGTAGTTTTCTTGGGGATATTAACAATTGAGTGACCCACGTATTGAATGTGCTAATGCCTCTTATAACTGAAAACTGTGTTGGATGCCCTATTCTTATTGACATGATTGACTCAATTCAACATTGTTTGTGAATCAAATAAGAGAGTTAAGAAAATTAGAATGCAAAGTAAATAATAATAATCAGAAAATGGATTTTTTTTATTGAACACTCAAATGCATAATTCACTGTATTGTTTAAGAACATGCCATACTTGGACCTACTGATCTAACAAGTACAGTTATGTTATTGAATGAGCTTTCTGCAATATGTAGAAATCCATCTATCCATCCATCTATCCAGTCTGTATGTATTCTTCTGATAATAATATTATTCATTCTAAGTATTCTGTTTAAAGCTGGTAGGACTGGCTGGTGACAGTTTTCTTTTTCAAATAACTAAGGAAAACAAACTGAGTAAATCTGCCAGTGTCTGCATACATCATGCCAGTTAATGTCAGCTGATGTCAGCTGATGTTTCCTTTTCAATATGGAGGAGTTTTACCATATTAAGGTTAGAGTGTGTGTTAAATGTGCAAAAACAGGATGTCTGCTTTTTCAGCCTATTCAAATGTATTTTTGGAAGTATATTTTTAAAAAGAAGGAAAGCAGAAGATTGTGAGCCTTGCCTTTGTGCTAATGCTGTTGCAAGCACCTATTATTGAGCACCTGTGTTAGAGAAGGATCAGTCCCAGAATGAGTTTGTTAGCTAAACAAACATGACACTGTGCGATGAGGCAAGGCCTTCAATCAGTGGCTGACAACATCTGGGTCACTCCATCACTTCAGCTGACTGAGACACTTATCTGAGTGACTGACCATAGAGGTGACAGTTTTCTTTTCCAAATAACTAAGGAAAACAGACTGAGTAAATCTGCCAGTGTCTGCATACATCATACCAGTTCATGTCAGCTGATGTTTACTTTTCAATTTGGAGGAGTTTTGCCATATTAAGGTTAGAGTGTGTATTGAATGTCCAAAAACAGGGATTGCTTGACCTTCCTGCTGTAACAGATTATTGGTAGTTCCCAGCATCCACAAAGCACTCTGCACCTGCATACCCATATTTGAAAACATCTAATGCTAAGTGGTCTTTTGGCTCTAGCCCTGTCCTTTCTAGACAACTGCAGATCAAATCCTGTTAGCTTTTGTCCATCATAGTGGTACTGTGTACTGAGGATGATCCTGACAACAGAAGGAAGGAGAGGGATTTTCTAAGTCTGTAAAGGACCACTTGGAGAATCACAGTTACAGATAAGCAACTTTGTCTTGTTCGTGGTCTCCATAATTCATGATATAGAAGGAGACAAGGCAGCACCATGACTTATGAAAGGGATCTTCAAATAAGTGAGAGAATTCAGGGTTCCAGGGCTTTCCAGCTCAGGTCTTAATCACCAAGAAGTTAGCCTTCTTGGCCATCATTCTATATTCCTTCACCCAAGTAATCATAATCTAACAAAATTCACTGTTGGAAAATATGATGACAGTTGGCTTAGCCTAGTTAACCAGAAAATTGGATTAGACACATTTATGGAGGATAATGTCTGTGCCTATTACCCAGGAGACCAAGAAACTCTAGAATCGAAAAAGTCATTTTAAAGCCATTGTATGTTACTGAATCCTGGTTGCTGAGTAGCAACTATAAGAAAAGGTGTCTCTTCCCATGCCTTGTTGATGGGCTTACCAAAGGCATTGTTTGGCTAGGCTAGTGGTGAATAATGATGGATGCACTCTTTCTCCAGTCTTCCAGGGCCATTCTTTTATTCTCCTATGCTGCACTGCAGGAAGTAGATACCTTGGATGTGATGGCATGGATGGCCACATTTTATTGTTGGTGATACAGCAGCAGCAAAACCCTGCAAATGGCTACGTGGCATCTATAACCTAACTTGGCAGTGATGTAATTGCACGGCATTAGGCTTGCAATGCACCAAGGCCTACAGAAGTCACCTGTCCTGATTCAGGCTCATTCTATATGAGATCTTTATTACCTAAGGTTCTGTATAGTGTGTAATGAGGATCTGTGAGTAATGAAATTCTCTATTCTGCATTTATAATCCCAGTTTTTAAAAGTTTGATGCCACTTTCAGTAAATTGAGATACCTGAAAGCATTCTGCAAAATGAAGTTACTTTGCTTATGAGCCATCTCTGTCCTGGTAGCAAAATATTTTTTCAACTTCCAGCAAACCAGGTACAAATAAAAAGGTACATTTTCTACTCTTCTAAGAGCAGAAACCTGGGGAGTTAGGTGTTTCTAAATGCCAGAAAGTTCTGAAGGTCCTTTTAATTTATATAGATATTTTTCTTGGACAGGCCTCACACTAGTGCTTCAGACCTGAGCTTTTTCCTGGTGATGCCAGTGCAACGGATCACAAAATATCCACTCCTGCTGCAGAAGATTTTGGAAAACACTCCAGAGAATGATAGTGCCTATGGAGCCCTTCAAGCTGCTGCTTCTGCTATGTTAGATGTCAGTGTCAATATCAACGAGTACAAAAGACGGAAGGAAGTAGGTGAGACTTGCCAGTGCTTTCTTGTGCCTTCCCTTGCATAGCTGCAAGAGGCCTGTATTGCAAGGCTGGTTTCAGCCACATGGAGGTATTTCTTCCACTGGAACTGTTTGGCCCTCTAGATGTTGGGGTGGCAAGTCTCATAATCTCTAATGATTGCCCATGCTAGCTAAGATTTCTGGGCATTTACGTCTGAAATATGTCGAAGACCAAAGGCTCACAATTCCTGCTCTGTGTGGTATGCTTGCTATCTCACTGCAGAACACTGTGGCCTAGATTCTATGAGTTAATCTGCACATAGCTCAGAATCAACAATGGCAAGGAGAAATTGCTGACAATGTAGAAAAAGAAACAAAAAGTTGAAAAAAATGTTCCATTCGTTGTTTTTCTTATTCTTTTTGCTGAGTAGTTTTCTCAGCTGGTGCTTGTGGATTCAGATCTTAACCATGGTCTACTGCAGCATTATCTGCAGATAGTTAATTTCTCATGGACATGAATGGCCCCGGCCCAGTTTACTTGTCCAAATGCGTCTCTCTTTACAAACCACCACGAAGACTAAGATCTTCTGGGGAGACCCTGCTCTTGGTCCCACCACCGTCATAGGTGCATTTGGCAGGGCCTCCTCAGTGACTGCCCCCCAGCTATGGAACTTCCTTCCTGGCAATATTAGATCAGCCCCCTCCCTCTGTTTTTTAGAAGGATGGTGAAGGCCTGGCTGTGCGACCAAGCCTTTGGGGCAGGGCAATGAGGCAATAATAGAATGGTGTCCTGAGGTGGTTTTATACAACTGATTTTAAAGTGGATATAAGTGATTTTAATGTTTGTATATATGTGTGTGTATATATGGTTTTATGTCCTGACATTGAATGTCTGCTGTATATATGTTGTGCTCCACCCTAAGTCCCCTGCAGGTTGAGAAGGGCGGAATATAAATTTTTCAAATAAATAAATAAATAAATAAAGCCTTTCTTGTAAGAAGATGCCTTTCAGTGAATATGTTTGTTTTTTGGAATTGAACTGCTAGCAAATCAATAGCCTGAGAATGGGATAAAAGATCACTTGCCAGAGGAGGAAAGTAAAGTGAATTTTTTTAAGAGAAATAAGTAGAAAACCTTGCTGTCAGGACAGAGATTCAGTTTCATCTTGGTATTGGTCTTTTCAAGTGAACATTTTTGTTGCATTGATTATGATGATGATGATAATTATGCTTATACCCTCTTTTTTCTCTCTGAAAGGAGACTCAAATCAGCTTTATAAAGTTTATATCCTATGTTTTCTCTAATTAATCCAAGACATTGTACATGGCTCTTCTCCTCTTTGCTCCATCCTCACAATAACCCTGTCAGAAACCTGGACCACCTAACTTTTCAGCCAGTACACTAGATGAACTCTTAGTATAATATCTATGAATCTTTAGCTAAAGATTCAGAAGTTGTGCAACAGCCTGCTAAGTATATATTTTCTGCCACTTAGATTTTTTTTTGGGTCAGGAGCTACCTGAGAAACTTCAAGTCGCTTCTGGTGTGAGAGAATTGGCCACCTGCAAGGATGTTGCCCAAGGGATGCTCAGATGTTTTGATGTTTTACCATCCTTGTGGGAGGCTTATCTCATGTCCCCACATGGGGAGCTGGAGCTGAGAGAGGGAGCTCATCTGCGCTCTCCCCGGATTTGAACTTCCAACCTGTTGGTCTTCAGTCCTGTCAGCACAGGGGTTTAACCCATTGCACCAGGTGGTGCCAAACAAGCTTTCCCTCCAGACTATTTGGGGACTGGTTTTTGCTATTTATTTGTAAAGCCCATAGTAGAAGCTAAAAATGGAAATGGAGATATTTTGGGATGATACAAATCAGACATTGGAACATGGAACATGTTTTAATATTTATATTGGAAAGTGCTTATGGTACTAGAGGTTGTATATTTTATGTCATGGCCTTTTGGCTAGTACAATAAACCATTCATTCTATTTATTTGTTTATTTTTATTCATTTGTATCCTGCCTTTCTCTCAACATGGGATTCAATGTAGTTTATTACTAAATTAAAACAAGAGAGAGCTGAAAACATATTTTAGAGGCAGCTGGTGTTCCAGAATAATTCAAAAGATAAAGTTTCTCCAGGAAGGCCTCAGAAATAAGGTCCTCTTTCATTTTTTAAATCTGGGACAAAGCTTTGTATGGTGCAATGCTTGTGTTGTCAGATGCATAGGACTTTCTTTCCAGCCTTGTATAATGTGTGCTTTTCCTGTTTCACTCCATCTTATCCATGTGACTGGAATCAGCAAATAAATATAACAAGCCTGGTTACCTGACTCTGCGGGACCGTCTGGCCCGCTTGAACCCACATTCCATTGCCAAGAAGACCACACGACTGAGCCGCCTCTTCATGCATGAGGCAGGAATTGTGTCTAAGGTGGGTACTGCACATTGCATTCTCATCTTGTCTCCTGTTTTAGGTTATGTTCCCCTTTCATGTGGGAGGCCTGGCAGTGTTCTAGAAGTGTGTGTTCTGTGTATGTGTGTGAAGGGGAAGTAGAAACAAATGGGAACTGTCTTCTCTTGGGAAAGAGTTCTTCAGGTGCCCACCTTCCATCACCCATAGCTTTCATGCCATCAAACTGAACTCACTGCTGGCTCTTGGCTGCTTCGTATATAGTAATAAGGAATTGGATTTTAGCCTCTCTGAGCTCATGGGTTCAATTTCAGGATTGTGACACCAGTCAGAAGCGATCACATAACAGCACTTGCTTGTGACCTGGCTGTGGGTGTTCCTTGTGTAATGAGTATGACAACATGACTCATTTATCTCAGCAAAGCTTTTGCCTGTCTTCATCATACCCCTGTTGCAAAACACCAGGCAAACACTGTGGCAGTTTTGGGGAGGTTGGAATGTTATGACTATGCTTCAGACTACCTTTATCAAGAATGGATCACAGGCTGAAGAAGCTTGAGGCTACTGAACTGAATTAATCATATTTTATTTCTATTATTCCAAAAATATAACATTAAAAGTTGCCACATTTGAAGTTGCAGCCCAAAAAATCTGAGCTAAATTAGTATAGTCCATAGCAGAGGCTAGAAATGGAAATAAAGATCGTTTGGGATGATACAAATCAGATATGTCATTGTTATCATGTCACTGCTACTATAATTTTAAAGAAACAGTGTATGGAATAAGTTTTAATGTTTATATTGGGAAGTATTCATTGTACTTTTAAAGATTGTATATTATTTAATGTCATGGTACTATAAACCATTCATTCAGTCATACTTCCATTAGCAGGGCAATACAGACAGGCCTAAATGACTTCTGAAATGCAGGAATGGATTGTAAGATTGGGGATGGGAAACTGAAACAAATCCAGTGGGAATAGCCTTGCTGCCAAACTTGTTGAATTTGTTTCATTATCAATTCCATATCTTAGCTGTTCAGTTGGAAAAGCTAGTTTTAAGAGGTGTTAATATAATGCTGTGCCGAAGTCATCATACTATCAACACTCAATTACTGGTGGAGTCAAGATATATCCATTCTTTTTAAAAGTAACTTTCCAAGCTCTGTCTAAAGAGCACAGCTGTGAAATTTATACCAGCTAGGCATCATAACTGCTCAGAAGTATACTATAGAGGAAGCAACTGCCTATAATTTCTGTCTATAATTTATAGTTATTGAAGATTGCCAGTTTCAATGTGATGCTCTTCAGATATTTTGATTAACTATTATTATCTATTACCGTTAGCCACGCTAGCTAAGAGTTTTAGTCCACAATGTCAGTAGAATATCCCAATCCAGGGTGTGCATATGGCATCAAAAATTGAATTTCCTGGAAGTCTTCTAAGATGACAGGCATCTGTCTTGTGTTCATCATAATCATTACTGATAATCTGCAACATACGTTTAAAGCCATGGTTCATGTGAACCTACTGGAGATAGGTAAATCTATCAAGATTTGTTTTACTAAGATTCTTATTTTCCTATTAGTAAACTTATTCCATCTTGGTTTTGCATCAAGGAGATTTTTCCACACACACACACACACACATATACATACAGTTGCCACACTATGCAAATATTTTGTATTTATCTGTATGAATAAATTTTAAAATGTAGGTATTTCTTGAATAAAACACGTTTGGCATCATTTTTTGCATGTAATATATTTTGTGTGGTGCCTCACAAATGTGAAGAAAGTAGGGCATTTTAGCACCTAATAACTTTCCAGTTGACGTTCAGGAAGGGGAAGGATATGATCAACTTGTGATAAAAGGCAAACCAAATGAATGTGCACCATCCCTCATATGGAAGTCACTATCTCTTGCTACCATGCAAGCCCTTTCAGTGTGTCATCTTTTCCCTGTCATCTAAGAGTTCAAGAATAATCCTTTACTACCCTAGGACAAAATGATAGTGAAAACTATAATTCAACTTTCTTTCCGTTCTTCAGACAGAGGACAAGGAGTTTGATGAACTGGAAGAAAAATTCCAGCAGTTGGCATCAGCTGTTGCTGATCTGAAGGAGAATGTAGAAACCTTCTTAAGCAATACAGAGGTAATCTCCCTTTCTCTCACATGGAAAATACGTCATAAAAAGGCAGGGTGAAAATCTTTATTTAAAGGTGTGGGGGGGGGGAGGGGGAGCGGTTGCAATGGTTTTTATGACAATCTGTCGTCTCTAACAATGTTTCAAGAATGGAACTTGGATAATCATCACTGAAGCCATATGTGTGAGGATTTGTAAAGAGACACCATGATGTGGTGGGTTGACTGGAAAGATATGTGTCAGCAGATAATTGGCTGAGCACGCCGGGAGCCAGAGTTCTGATTGGCTACTCTCTCTAGCTTGCTGCTGAGACAAACGGCTTTAACTGCCACTTTCACTTTGGAGAGGGAAGAGAGTGCTGACTGAAAACAGTCAGGAAGGAAATGGCTGCCAACTCTCTGAAGCCTGATTATTTTTAAGGCATGAAGCATATTTTTAAGACTATTTAAACTGTTTAATCCCTCTGTTCTTTGCGTGAATTCACAGAGATTGCTGTTTGATCTTTTGAACTGAAGTAAAGATACTGTTACTTGTTACACAAGCTCAAGTGACATTTTATTCTACTGCAGGGTATATCTTGATTCAGAAAATGTGGTAAAGCTTCTGTTTATTTATATTTATGACCCCCCAAAAGATTATGGGACCAGTGTTACCACCAGTCTTTTTCAGTTTTCACTCTCCAAGATGAAACCATTTGTCTAAGCAACAAAGTTTTGAATGTAGAAATGGAAAGTAGATGCACTGGCTCATTAGGTGTGATTCCCCTTAGACAGCTTGGCCAAAAGTCAGGAATTCTGGGAGCTGAAGTCCAAAACTTCTGGAAGATGAAAGTTTGCAAAACACTGCTCTTCATTTTACTAAACCACAAAACAATCGAAGGCACCTCTTGAAAAAATGTATGGCACATTTTTGTGTAATGTTGTTCTTTTTTTTCCCATCTTAGCTGTAGTTTCATTCATTTCACACAGACCTTATGGATGAAGTGGCCCATTTGTGACTCTCCCGATCACAAATGGGCTGGCATTTATCCCACCTTACTTATCAAGGCAACTCTGATTGGGGTTGATGGGATCCACCATCAAACAACATCTAGAATTCCCAGAATGGCAGTTAAGCTTGCAACCTACATCTTGAAAGACCCTTTTAATTATTACTAATGGATACTCATGATTCAGAGCAATAGCTTAGAGACACTCATGTGAGAAGCACAAATAACTAGAGTGCTCCTCTACTGTTACCTCTTCTTTTTCTCCAAGGCTCTAGTGAACACAGATATCCTCCATCTATAAAGTTTTTTAAAAACTAGAAAGGGCCAAACTGCATCACACCACTTTCACTACACCTTCACATTGTTTGTTGTTATTGGAAAACTTGAGGAGTTGTTATAGTCTTCTTTATGGACAAAGTCACTGAAATGTAGCCAAAAGGCAAAGGAGCTGAAAGGAGTGGGAAAGAGTGCCCTCTAAGATGTTAACAATGCTCTGAATGTGCTAGAATCTCCTACACTTGAAATTTGGCAAGCTGAACAAGTTTTAGCAGACTGCTACCTTAGGGAAATCATGTCGAGATGTGTATAAACTCCTGGGATAATATGACACATGAGCAGAAGTAATGTTGCCCAGAAATGCATTGTTAGATGCATTGGGAACAGCATTCTAATCTCTAGTGTCTGTTCATTTTTGTCCTCTTTTATATGTCCACAATCATCAAGATGAACTCCCATGGGCCACCAACAGAGGCAGCAGGAATATTCTCCCAGCGGTAACAGGAGCAACCCCTGAGAGAGCTTACCATGATAAAGAAAAGAAGGAAGGAAGATAGATCCAATAGTCCTTTTTTCTTGTTAGTCTAGAATAAAAAACTAAAGCTGTACTGAATTGGGAAAGGCCATTTTTTAGCCAATTTGCCATTTTTCTAGCTATATTTTGAGGATGAAGCATATATATAACCAGGGTAAAAGACAATGTGAGAAGCCACCATTTTGGTTTTCTTAGAAAATCATTTTCTTACTTGCCTTTTTAAAAATGTGGAGATATTCAAAATGGCTGCCATTATAAAAATATGATAGCTTCCCCCTTTGCTGTTCTACACTATGTCACTAGGCCCAGTCTGTTCTGTTCTTTTACTTTATTTACACTCTTGGATTCAAGAGGATTTACAAAATAAATTGATTGTAAGATGCCATTGATTCTAATTTGCAGCCTGATTTTGGAGCCCTGATTTTTTGGAGGGAAAATGCAGCCCGATTTTGGAGCTCTGATTTTTGGGGGAAAGGACTTTCTTGCTGAATTTCTAAGGATGAATTTTAAGAATCAAATAACACACTGAAATATATTTAACTAATATTTTAATAACAATAGAATTATATATAGTAACTACAACAAAAAGAAACACAGTAAATGTAGAAAATGAACCACATGTGGTCTTTAATTAGTTCTTTCAAAGGAACAGGTAGGATTTTTAAGTCACTTCTGTCAATAGAAGAGTCCGGATCTGTCAATCACTTATTTCAATGCAACAGACAGGATCTTTAAATCATTTCTTTCAATGGGGAGAGTGGGTTTTCTGCCTTAACTGAAACTATCATAACAGGAAAAGTGCACAATTCTAGAATGCCACCAATTCTAATACTGGAGTATTCCCTAACTTCTGGTTAAGCGGCATAAAACCAGGTTAACTGGTTTCACCCACTATTGTATAGTCATTGTAGGTTGCAATTTGTGCAGCAAGAAGGGATTTGTGCAGTAAGAAGAGGGGCTAGGCAGGCATACTCTGATCTTACCCAAGATGGGTTTATCATGGGAAAACTCATTTTAGGAGACACGTGTGGTGATGCTCTAAAACTTATTTCCATGCAAGTGTGCTGATTACCTATTCAAATAATTCAGTAGAAGAAAGTCTTGTGAGAACAGGTAGGCACAAACAGAAGATAGAATTTCACAGGACAATATCTCCTGCATCATTATTTCTCTCAAATCCTCATATACACTCTCTACACATACAAAGGGGGACACACATGCACACACGCACACAATCTGCAGCCCTATCCCAGAAAGGACATCAAACCAGTATCTAAAAAAGCATTGACAATACAACATCAATGTAATAATAATCTGTTTCACTGATTCTCTAAGCAGATTTTTGTGTGTGAAGAAAAACAATTGCAAAATCAGAAATGAAAAGATACTTTGGCTCTTTTTAGCCTGGCAGTAGGAGAAAGTGTTGATGTACAATCATAGCCCACTGATTCCCAAATTCTCTAGATTTGTGCCTAGCAATAGGGTGCAGAAGGTTTTCTATTGTTACATAATCAGAGCTGACAGCAATAAGTGAATAAGACCATTTAGTAGAAGGGCGAAAAGAGTAACTTCTGAACTGAAGATTAAGCTACCTATGTGCACTCTATACTGATGGAAATATTATGCATTATCCATGTAGAAATCCCTGCCATAATTCCTGGCTTCCTTTTCAATATACTGTTTGTTGTTAGTTGTTCAATTCTCTGAGCTGCCCTATGTTTTAGAGAAGCAGACCAGCAAGTGGTGAATTAATTAAAATATTATTTCTCAGTTTCTTTTCCTTCCTTCCTTCCTTTTCCTCCCACTGTTTTCCTCTTCCTTTGCTGATTTAATTGGTATGATTTAACTAGGGACCTACTTAATGGCTTTAATATGCAACTTGGCTTATATCAATAATGAATAATGGTGGCATATTTGTGAGCCTGGTGCAGCATTTATAAGTAACATGGTGCACATTCTAATTGGACCTTATCAAATCATTGCCCAGCTTTACGTTTTGTATTTTGTTTCTACTTGGATCTCCTGAGTACCTATGAGACTTTGATCTCAATCTTGCCACTGGCTATGTCCCAAACAGAGTCAGTTTATGTCTTCTGATCCATTTCTTTATCCCTTAGGCATTCCTTAGTTCTAAACCACATGAAAATCAACTGGAAATAGGAGCAGAAACTACCCAGCTATATCGCCAAATTGCAGGGAAACTCCATAGCACTGTCTTTCCTGACCTTGTAAGTATTGTTTTTTCTTGATTTTCTCCCCTAGTAGGGGAGAAATTGTGCTGTAGTAGTTTGAGGTTGGACTAGGACTCTGTAGGCCAGGGTTTGATTCCTCACTCAACCATGGAAACCCAATGAGTGACCTTCAGTAGGTCACATATTCTCAACCCCAGAAAATCCGATAATAGTGTTATTCCTACTGCTTAATCCATGGCGGCTGATAACTTGTTATGGGGAATCATAATAAGTTTCTGGTTCTTTTTGAACAGAAGCTCCCAAACTGTAGCATCTCCATAATTTTTTCACTATGCAGGCAGAGAGGAGACTTCAGCTTCCAAGAATTCTAACTTGAAAAGGTACAGAAAACCAGATTTTTAGAAACCCTTTCCCCTTTCTTTTCCGATAGTGGAAGCGTCTGGAACGCCTCGTGTATCGCCCACTGTGCAACTTGACAGAGGTCCTGAAAGGGCCTCAGAAGCTGATCAAGAAGCGCTTGGACAAGTTGCTGGACTACGACGAGTTGGAGGAAAAGCGGAATGAGACAGGCAGTGTGACATACGAAGAGGAAGCTGCTATGAATACCTATCTGGCCATTAACTCCTTGCTTGTGTCTGAGCTCCCTGTGCTCAATCATGTGGCCCTGCAGTGGCTGAGGCATATTTTGGTTTCTTTTGTGGCCATCCAGCGAGACCTGGCCAAGCAAGTTCTCCAGGAGACAGAAGGAGCTGTTGCCCAGGTAAAAAACCAGAATGGAAGAGGAGGAGGATTGTGTAGGTTTCTGCCATTGTTCTTGGAGCCCCACAGTTACCCATATTACTATTCAGGGTTTGCAAGGCAAAAGTAGGGTGAAAAGCTATCATAAATATTGATAGCAATTTTAGGTTATACCTCTTGATCATATCTCAGCACATTCAAGAACTACACTCCGGTTTTGAAATTATTTTGTTATTTGCAAAAAGGTTGGGAAAACAGCAAGTACTGCCCTCACTAATTTCCTCATCCCCAGAAGAAAAAAATCACTAGAGTGAGGAAGGAGGTTTCTTGAGTAGTGTAGAACCTAGTGTAGTGTAGTGTAGAGTAGAACCTACACGTTCCTCCTTTTAGCTGGTTAATTCTGGAACATCATGAAGACTTGGTGTGTTTCTCAGCAAGGAATGCATTGAAATACTGTCTCCCCATCTCCCTCTGCAACCCAGATCCCAATAATTATGGAATTCCTTGCCTCCCTATTTGAGAGCCATGCGTGACTTAGGGCATTTTATCCTAGCACTTAAGACCTGGCTTTTTACTAGAGCATTTGACCCATGTTAATTTTAATATTTGTATGTATGTGTTTTATCCTGTATAATTTCTGCAATGTAAATCGCCTGGAGTATCTTGGGTGGAGGGCGATTAATAAGTAATTAAAGATGATGATGATGATGATGAATATTAGCTAGATTCTCTGTCTCCTCTTCCTGGTGAGGGGTGCCTTGCAATGGTATAGTAAAGAACTAAAACTGTTCTTCTAGTTTATTTATTTACTGCATTTATCTCCCGCCTTTCTCATCCCGAAGGAGATTCAGGGTCGCTCACAACAAAGGCACTGTGAGGTCTGTGATACTGTCTGTGAGGTCCTATAGGCCTTTTCTTTGTATAGTCATGTCTATTCTGGGGGCCCTGATAGCACCGCAGGGTAAACCACTGAGCTGCTGAACTTGCTGACCAAAAGGTTGGTGGTTCGAATCTGGGGAGTGGTGTAAGCTCCTACTATTAGGCCCAGCTTCTGCCAACCTAGCACTTCGAAAACATTCAGAAGTGAGTAGATCAATAGGTACTGCTTCTGCTGGAAGGTAATGGTGCTTCATGTAGTCATGCTGGCCACATGACCTTGGAGGTTTCTATGGGAAATGCCGGCTCTTCGGCTTAGAAATGGAGATGAGCACCACCTCCCAGAGTCAGACACGACTAGATTTAATGTCAAGGGAAACTTTTACCTTTACTATCTGTTCTATCCATCCAAACAGAGTCATATTTCAATACATTTACATTTTTGCCCAAAACCAACTGGGATACCACTGTTCAAAGCTTCACCCAAAACTATCCCAAGATCCCTTCCTTACCCTCATTTGTTTTCAGATCTTTGCAACACAATTTTAAATTGTTAATTCCTTAACAGGCCAGAATCTGTAATTCCTCCCTGTTTCCACTTAGTGATGGCAAGCATTCTACGTCCTCTTCTCACAAAGCTACAGGTGCATGCATATTGTTTGTTTCTTTGTTTATTCATGAAACGTCTTGTTTGTCTTTCCATTGTGTACTTAAGATGATCAAAGAGCAATAAAATTAACTCCAACCGATGTTCTGGCCATAACTGTGAAATTCATAAAGCCGCTAAAGCTGCTTGAACAGTGTGTATTATTTAAAACTCCAGAGATGTGAAATTCTCTCCCCCTTCCAAAAAACAAAACAAAACCAAAAACACAACCACCCATGGAAAATACAGGCATCATCAGATTTCTCAGAAGTTATTTTTTTAGCATAGGGCCCATTAGTCAGAAAACTCTGCTCTGTGCATTAAAAACCTCTTATCGCTTTAATAAATAAACACATCAGAACTGAGGAAAGTCACTTATTTTGGACTTACTCCTAGAATCCCTCAGCCAGCATAGCCCTGGGCTAGGAATGGGAAAAGTGATGCCAGTAAGCTTTATGTGGTCCCAAATGCAAACTTCATATTTAGCACCCACATCCCCTAAGGAGTATGTTTTAGATCAGGGAGGAGGTTTTTATTTCAAAACTGGAAGTGACCTAATGTGTGTGGGGTGCATTTTGATTTAAATAACAATGTTAATTTTTAGTGGAGTGTTGTTGAGAAGTTGGTATCCAAGATCCACTGAAAAGCAGGTACAGCACCCAAACCTTGAGAGGTTGCCCACCCTTCCCCATGACCATTGGCATGAGAATTTAGGAGGATTTGTGGCAGAAATAGCAAGTCCAAGCTCCAACTAGTTCTTATAGTGGCCAGCCTAATGGTTTCTGAAATCCTACCAGCTTGTCAAGAAGGCCATAGTCACTCTTCCTTTGTCCCTATTATTTATTTACAGTATTTATGTACCGCTATTCTCACCTCGGGGGGAGGGGGGACGGGGGACTCAAAGCGGTTTACAAAAAATAATGGCAAAAGTCAATGCCTTACATAAACCAAATCATAAATCTAACAGCATATGACTAAGCATAAAATACAGTGTCTAGAGATACATTGCCACCTTTGATCATGGTGGACTTATAGTTTTCTCCACAATTAGCTTTTGATAAATCTAAGCACAAGAAATTCCACCAATCCTTTTTTTAAAGTCAGATTAGACCAGGCTTGGGTTTTGCTCAGTTTTTAACTTTTCAATCCTCCATTAAACTTTGTGCCATTTTGACAGCATTTTGCAAATTTTAAAAATATGCTCCTCTGAATATGCTTCTTTTTCTATGTAATTCTGCATAAAATTGCTGCCAGCACATTTCCCGAATGTGGTATATTTTTTGTCATGTGCACCTATTAATTCAATTAATTATCTAAAACATGTTACAATAGTGATATGCTGTTTTATTATTAGAAGCATGCTCATTTCAAAGTAGAACTGCTGTTTGGTTCACATTTTGCTTCATAATTAGATAGGTTCGTATTAAAATGCAAGGTTAATGCTTTTTCTGTATCATCTACTGTACAGTATTTTTAATTCAGTAGACTTGGCCATGATTTTTATAAATGATGAAATACTTCCTTTGTAGAGTGAAGGGTTATATTTTAGCATTCATCTGGGAGTGCAAAGAAAAATCTCTGCTCACCTGCACCATGGATCATTTTAATAAACCTTCTTGGGCTGGCATAGAATGCAGGACTTCCCCAGCCAGCCCAAGGGCAACTTGAGTTTACTTTCTTCCCATATTTCTTTTCTTTTTCACAAAAGCAGTATAATTAATCTCTGTCCTTATTCTCGCAACCGTAATGAAAACAAGAGCAGGGAAAATGCAAGGTAAGCACCAGTGCAGACCTAGGCAGCCTACAAACAGACTATTGACTGGAAACCTGCAATGAGCAATTCATTTGCTAGCAAAAAAAAACTCCAACAAAATATGGGTCAAAAACCACTTGCAAAAACTCGCTCACTATGGACATCTAAGATTTATCTTCTCTTTTTCAAAAATAGTTTCTCTACAGTTTCCAGACATGCTCTCTTTAATTGTAGATGGTTCCTCTTTACAGTTGCCACATAGGCACCTTCCTGCAGCTGATTTTTGGAAGATGGTGAAAGAGTCCTTAAGCCAAGCTGAAGGTCAACTCAACTCCCTCTGCAAAAAAATGGAGACTGTTGTACCAAGTCCTGTTGTGCAGGTATGATACTGTGGGAAAATACCAGAGCAGCCTTTCCTAGCATGACAGGTGTATTCAAGCTGCAACTCTTATCATTCAGGCAGCATAGACATTGTCTAGGGACAGGCATGTAGCCGGGGGGGGGGGGGGGGGGGGGGGGGGGGGGGGGGGGGGGGTTGAGGGGCTTCAGCCCCCCCCTCCCGAAATTCTCTTGGTGGTCCGTGAGAAGGCCTTACTGGTACATTATTTAAACTGTTTATTCATATCATGATCTGATCACCTTGCTCAATATATCCCATATGCATGGGGGTAACAATACAAAAGGTTTGCTAGGGTAGACCCTCTCTCACTCAACTCAGCCCCCCCCCCCTGAATCAAACTCAGCTCCCCCCAAATCAAAATCCTGGCTATGGGCCTGTCTAGGGATGATTGTTCTACAATGCATATGAAGAGCACTAAGCTGGAAATTGTTACGCTCCTAATGTTATCACCACCAGGTTACCAGTTGGTTCAGACATTGATATCTGTTATGGGCTATGGAGGGTGGAGGTCACTTGTCCCCAGAGAAACTATGGATATATTCTAATGGAGGCTCACATGATAACACTCCATCCCATAATACTCTTAACAGATGTGCTAGGTTGGGGTTATTGATGGATTTGTCTGTTGATGAATCATTGGTGCATGAATGCTAGAACACATAATCCTCTCCTTTCCAAAGGAGAAAACTGAGCCAGTTCTACCACTGGGCAGGTCAAAGCAGACCTTCTCTTATAATCGGTCTTGAGAAGACTTTAAATGGCATCGGATTGCCCATAATTTAATTCTATTTTATAGTTTTACCATGCTAAACACAAAATATGTTTTGTGGGCTGTCTCTGATTAAAAGTATTCCCATTTTCAGTGACGTGTGAACATCATATATACATTTGATTGTATGTAAAACTATATTTATTTTATTTCATTTTAAGCATTTTACTCATCAGTTGACAAAGCTCCCAGAGCAGTTTATAAGGAGATTAGCAAAATTCTATGGAAAAATCCAAACACCAGGGTTCAGCAAGAAATGTTTTCTTTATGATTTCCCATCCCTTTTTGTAATGCAGAGCAAAGATTATTCCCAGAACAAATCATACAAAGGCCCAAGGGCCTTCTACACAGCCCTATATCCCAGAATATCAAGGCAGAAAATCCCACAATATCTGCTTTGAACTGGAATATATGGCAATGTGGGCTCAGATAACCCAGTTCAAAACAGATATTGTGGGAATTTCTGCCTTGATATTCTGGGATATAGGGCTGTGTGGAAGGGCCCCAGCGTATTTGGCCCATGTAGAGAAGCCCATCGTCTCTTGCTTCTCTCCCAAAGATACCTCCTTCCTCTGTACTTTTTCGCAGTTTAAAGTTCAAAATCTCTACAACTTGGAGAGTTTTTCCCTCAGGATATTTTTTGCTGAGAGATAGTTGCTGTGCCTTGCTTCTTATTACTCATCCTCCAGTCCACCCACATGGTAGCGCAATTGATTGCAGGAGGATTTTTCTGACCCACTTCTCCTTCTGCCTTTTCAACAGCCTCTTAGTGTCGCAGAGGAGAGGAAGGTCCTTTCGCTTGTGAACAAACATGGCCCAGACAAACTATACCAGGTAACGGCCAACATCAGCGGCAGCAAAGACATGGACTTGACACTGCAGAGGGGACAGGTTGTGGCACTCCTACATGACAAGGACACCAAGGGCAACCCTAACCGATGGCTGGTGGACACTGGAGGTACTGTGACAGTTACAGATGTCAACCTTTTATCTGATTGACACCAAGTATAACCTTATGGTCAAATCCATTGGAGTTATCACAAATTTTGACATGACATCTATTAAGGCACACACAAAATGTGTTCATCGAATTATGTGTGAATATATAATGTGGCACTAAAATTGTTTTCTATATATCTTCCTTTCCCCAAACATATCTTCTTTTTCAAAGCTAACACCTGCATAGTAAGGATGTTTAATGTAAGAAGAGTTATAGTGATGGATTGAAATAGTCAATAAATGGTGTCCATTTTATAAAATATAGTAACCCTAACTAAAAGAGAATGTCATCGCTCCTCCTCCAGTGGTGTTTTGTATTGGAGTAGCTGAATTGTGTGGTCATTGCGGTGTTATGTGTCATGCAGGACCAAGAGGCTATGTCTCCCCTGGAAAGCTCCAACGGTATCATGTAGTTCCAAACCAAAGGCCTCGGTCAGAAGTGAGGACTGAAAGTGATGGCGCCAAGAAGTTACACGATTCATACAACTTGCCCCCACTGCTGAGTCCACCAGTAAATTTCAATACTCCAGTTTTACATGTGAGTGGAGAAGTTTTTTTTCAGTGATGGTTGTTGTTTTCTCTCTTTTCTGTTTCATCGTTTGGATCCATGTGATCAATATATACACATTGAATCAGTTATTCAGGATTTGACACTGAAATCTCAGTTTTCTTGTCCAATCCCACTCACACTTTGATTCCTAAAATATAACACAAGCCAACAAAATCAAACTTTTTGTAATAATCGGAAATGAGAGCACAGCTTCAATCATTTTTATGCTGATTTTAAGTATGTTTTTTTTTAATTTTTTCCATCACATCAACTTTTTAAAAATATGATGAACAGTACATTACAGTGGACTACAGTAAAGTCTGCACATTTCACATCATATTTATGCAACACAAGCCAACAAGTATTTTTCATCAGATATAATTTTAGGTCATTCTTACAGAGTTTTTTGCATTCAGTTTTTTGAATTCAGATCTGTGTTTATTTTTTCTCTATCATGTGTATTTTTTTGTGGTGTGGCTAATTGAATAATTAATGCATTTATGCACTGATACCAATTATATTCTATTGACATCAGTGCGTAAATGCATTAATTATTTGATTTGTCTCATCACAAAATCTACATGTGATAGAGAAAAAATAAGCAGAGATCTGAATTCAATGCAAAAAACTCTATAAAGATGACCTAAAATTATATCTGATGAAAAATACTTGTTGGCTTGTATAATCAGCCAAGATCTACTATAGCAAGGTTTGATCTACTGTAGGTTTTCAAGACTTTGTCTACTTGCCTTAAAAAAATAAAAACTTACCTTAAGAAAAATAAAAGTGGAAAAGAGGTTCTTATGATGCTTTCTTCTGTGTATGGTACCAAGTTTTGCTATAGCAAGGTGCTGTAGTGAAATAGCATGACTCTATACCAGGGGTCCTCAAACTTTTTAAACAGAGGGCCAGGTCACAGTCCCTCAAACTCTTGGAGGGCTGGATTATAATTTGTAAAAAAAAAACATGAATTAATTCCTATGAACACTGCACATATTTTATTTGTAGTGCAAAAATACTTTAAAACAATACAATGATTTAAATGAAGAACAATTTTAGCAAATATAAGCTTATTAGTATTTCAGTGGGAAGTATGGGTCTGCTTTTGGCTGACGAGATAGGATTGTTGTTATCGTTGTGTGCTTTCAAGTCATTTCAGACTTAAATTGACCCTGTATGAGGGCCGGGTAAATGACTTTGGGGGTCCGTATTCAGCCCTCGGGCCATAGTTTGAGGACCCCTGCTCTATACAAATACCTACTTATAGCCAAAGCAGGAGTTTCATATTGTACCTGCACCTGATCCCAGGATTGATGCAAATAGTTTTACTGTCCTGGAAGGCAAGTGTAGTGGACTCATGTTGATCAATAAGCAGAAGCTGGTTGGTCATCTCTCATGAATGCTTTAGGAATACTACATGTCAGGGAGCTAGTTTACTTGGTTTGCTTCTATCATTAGTTCAGAACTGTCCCAATCATTAGGCACAAGCAGCAAAACATCTTGAGCCACCCCATTTCATCACTTATGCAGTACTGTAAATGCTTTTTTCTTCCTCTCTCTCCTTTCCTTAGATAATAGCTGCATATGCATTTACAGCCCGGAGCAGTCATGAAGTCACCCTCCAGGCAGGCCAGCCAGTCACTGTCCTGGAACCCCATGACAAGAAGGGGAGCAAAGAGTGGAGCTTGGTGGAGGTGAATGGACAGAGGGGCTACGTGCCTTCCAGCTTCTTGGTGGCAGTGCCTGCTGCCTCAAAACCTGTGTGGCCCTTTCCAACTCAGCAGACATAACTGTGCAGTAAGCCTAGTTTCAAGACATCAATTGCACTATTCATGTTCTTATTCCTTCAATTTCTCCTGTGTGGTTTTCCTTGTGAAGTGAAGAAAGAAATAAGGGTGGTGGCAGGAAGAACTGTTGATTGCCATGAGTCTGTGCCATTCCAGAGTGTATATTTCTTAGGAAAAATATGAAGGCCCGTGTGTGTGGAACCACTCATAGAGTGCATGGGGTTTCTGATTTTAATTTTGTTTTTTTTTCCTGACCTATTGCCACTGATAAGATTCACCCCAAAGTTGTAATTGGAAAATGATCCAATAGAGGACTCAAGAATCTCTACATCATTGGGTTTATTTAATTAATGGAGATTCCGAAACCAAAGGTCCTTGTGAAATGTCTCCAGTGAAGGAGATGTTTAGCAGCTTGGTATATTCATTCCAGAAGGATCCCGCAAACAGCAAGAGTCGGCTACTGACACAAAGAAAGCCAAATCACAGTCTAGTAAAAAGCCCATTCTCTTTTCTTTCAGCTCCTTGATAGCCAGAGAAAGCAATTTTGTGTTAAGCCCTGATGTTTGTGGACCATTTTCCAAGTTGCTAAATTTAACTATCACCTGCTCATGAACCAGATTTAATAAGCTAGATGCAAGTGCTGCATTCCTTGCTACCTCCAGTGAAGATTGATTATGTATTTAATATGTATCTATGCTGTGATATACAAAGTGAACTGCCTGAAGCCTAAACCAAATAACAAAGCTGGGGATGTTCCTGATAGCTTTATTTTTCTATAAGTAGTTAGTTGGCTACCTCTGGGTGAGAAGGTCAGGCCACAAAGTATTATTGGGGCTGTGGAAGAAGTACTGATGGGTGGTTAATGCAGCATATCATAACATGAATAGAAATCTGTCATTTGTTTTTAATATGCTTTCTTCAAGCAAAGAATAAAAAATGATAAAAAAGAGACAATATGTGAGGTACTTCCCAAGATCAAGGAAAAATATAGTAGTATGGTTTAGGGTGCTGAATTTCAGTTTCAGCCATGAAGGTTATTAGTTAATATTCTCTCAGCCCAGCCTAATGTGCAGGGTAATTGTGGGGATAAAGAAGAGAAGTATTATGTGAGACAAATGTGGTCAGATCCGGAAGAGGATGCTGCTAACCACATTATGGAGGATGAAATTTCCATTTTTAATATGACCATTAAAAGTTCTGTATCTCTGGCTTCTTTTGCTGGATAACTGCCTTGACCTCATTGGAGAAAAGTCAGCATGTAAAAAGAAACTGGAAAAAGGGAATAAAAACACCTAAGAACAAATAGAGAAAACACTTTTGTAAAAGTTCTAGAAAAAGCAGCAGGGTCTAGATAAGTAGGGCAACACCAAGCTCTTAGGTCTGTTGGGGCATCACACTAGCACAGCTCACCCAAGCCTTCTTACGCAAGTTATTCCCTGGTGGTGCAGCAGCTTGTGGAACTCCTGGTCTGATGTTTAAAAATTGCTCTATCCCAGTTCACCTGTTACCAGGAGGCTGTCTCCATGGTGGAGTCTTTTCTCCCTGGTGGCACCCAGTCTTAGAATGAAGGAAGCAGTAGCTTTGAGATGACCATGCTCTACATTTATGTTTGAAAGTAGACTGTTGCATGTCTTCGCCCTTTCTGACTTATGATCACTCTGGAGCTAACCTATCATGAGGTTTTCTAGGGCTGAAAACATCTCACCTGCACAAGATCACTTGGAGTTTCCATGGCCAAGTGAACAATTGAACCTTGGTTATCTGTATTCATAATTCCATGCTCAAAACACTATACTAGTCAAAATAATATGCTTATTTTTCTTTTTGCATTTACACCCAGGTACTCACAATAATCTCAGGACAGTCATAGCATCCAGTTTACAAAGCAGAGGTAGAAATAACATGGAAAGGATAAATATTCCTCTGCTGAAAAGGAGAGAAGTACAACATGTTTCAGAAAACTTTGATTTCAAAACTAAACAATTTGCACAGTGAAATGAAACAACCAGGTCTGCAGAGGTGGAGAAAGAGAACATTTTGAGCTTACAGCAGGCACACACGGCAATAGTGAGCAGGCACACATGGCTATAGTGAGATCAGTGACAGTAGAATCCCACCCTTTCCTAGCTCAAGTGTTGTTGCTTGCAATGGTAATTGCAGATGCTGCTGAAACTTAACACTAACAACCCATATTTCTGCAACCCTCCTTCATCCTCCTCCCAGTGCTGATGCCACTTAAAAAATGATACAGGGAAGAAAATGGAGGCCAGGTGAGTCTTTGTCAGGACCTTTGTTAACTGAATAGAAAATCAGTGGTTCCATTTAGTTTGAAAGATCAAGACCATGCAAAACATGTAACTGTATTAGTGCTCCTCTATGTGCCTGTCAATAGAGCTCTATTGTTTAAAAATTTAGCAGCAGCTCTTCAGGTGTAGCTCTTGAAAAATGCATGGATTGGCTCTTTGATGTGTGGTGTTTTATGCAAGCCAGAGGCCAAAAGAACTGGATAACATTATGGTGTAACTGACCCTTAAGAGAAGAGCTTTCCATCTCCTTATCTCATTACAAGAAGCTTGCCTCTCTGCTTTGAGAAGGATCGGTAGGATGAGGGGACAAGAGCAGATTTTTGCTCTTGTTTTGTTTTTAAAGTTATGATTATATTGCAGTTGCTTCTTTGGGTTGGTGTGAAGCTTGCAGGTAATAAGATCCTCAAAATGCGTTCAACAATTCTGAAGTCATCAGCCTGGGCAATCTTGACTGTGTGAATTGAATCTGAAATGCTTGACCCTCCCCCATGTTCCCAAGAAAGGGCATTTCCAACATGCCACAGCATGTGGATGCTGATGTGGAAGCAAGGAACAGCCAGCCAGGCTTCTTGCAATGCCTACTATGCCTACATCTCCTAACAGAGTATTTCCCTCTTCTGTTTCAGGCTCATTTATTCTTATTTATAATTGTCGTTTTGCAATGTATTAGTATTTTTGCGAAATAAACAGTATTGATCCGCTGTTTAGTGGTGGTTTTTTATCATTGTTCAAATGCTGGTTATCAACAGTCTTCTCCCTGTCTATGCCATTTCTTATTATATGTCAGTGCATTCACAGTTTTACCACCAGATGGCTCAGCAACCTCATCTGTCTCTTGCAAATGCCTGAGAGCATTAGAATTGGGACTCATCTTCAGCTTTGAGTGAAGATTTACAGAGCAGAGCAAGAAAGGGCCCAAACTGTGGCTTGTTTTTAATGTTTCACAAAAGCAGGCTTTCATTACAACTTGGCAACTCCTACTTATTTCCACTTGATACAACCTGGAAATAAAAAAGGTAACTGTTTCCTCTTGACATTAAGTCTAGCTGTGTCCGATTCTGGGGAGTGGTGCTCATCTCCATTTCTAAGCTGAAGAGCTGGCATTGTCCATAGATGCCGCCTAGGCCATGTGGCTGGCATGAATGCCATTACCTTCTTGACGAAGTGGTACCTATGGATCTACTCACATTTGCATATTTTCCAACCTCTAGGTTGGTAGAAGCTGGGGCTAAAAACGGGAGCTCACCCTGTCCACAGATTCGAACAGCTGACCTTCTGATCAGCAAGTTCAGCAGCTTAGCAGTTTAACCCACTGCGCCACCATGGCCCGTACCTGGAAGTTATTTGGAAGTAATTGGTACAAATAAAAAGTTACACATGCCTAAATTTATTGTTCCAATACCAAAAGTATAACCATATAGCCACTTTGAGTATCCTTGTGGAGAGAAACAGCAGGGTATAAACAAACATAATAATAATAATAATAATAATAATAATAATAATCTCAGCCAGCGTTTGGAAACAATAAACATTGACAAAATCATGATCCGTCAACTGCAAAAGGCCACCTTGGATCTGCGCGCATCATTTGAAAATACATCACACAGTCCTAAACGCTTGGGAAGTGCTTGACTTGTGATTTTGTGATATGAAATCCAGCATATAGATCTCATTTGCTGTAACATACTGTGTTTTTGTGTCAGTAAAATAATAATAACAAGCACTATATTGCAACTAATTTAACAAAGGATAACTTTTTAGATTGTAAGCCTTTGATAGAGCTGGCTGTATTTTTTTTACTGTTGTTTTACTTGCAAAGCACCATGTATGTTGATAGTGCTATATTTCACAACAAGAACAGCAATAGTAACAACAACCACTCTTTTTATTGTGTAAAATGCTTGATAGTTTAATTGTTGCAGGAGTGCATCCTCAGTAAATTGGTAAAGGAAGAATAATGGTTCAGCTGTTGGTTTACAATATACTTCAGGCTGCTTTTGTGGGTTTTAATTTAACTAAAAGTAGCTATTTTAGTCACTGCTGAAAATAGGAAATTAAAGGATTGCTTTAAAAAACTGCAATGTCAACTACTGTGAGTTTAGAACAGCAACTGAAACTGTAACAAGTTACTTAAAATTAACTTTCTGAGATCTCTTATCCATTTCTATAGTGTGAGAGAGGTAGGTTTGCAGTTAATGGCAAATAAACAGGAACATCCCTTTGAGATCCTACAAAATGCAAGCTGTACGAAGCAACAGACCCTGTTACTCAGCCTGGTATGGAAAGTTACTATTTTGATATTGTAACTAATAAGATATCATTGAAGAGAGACAGAGTGACTCCAATTTCCACAATTTAGTGCTCCTCAAGTGGATATTGTGCTGCAAATTCCATTATGCAATGGCAATTATGTTTGGGGATGATGAGAGTTGGTGGAACACTTCTGAAGGTCACCAGGCTGGGGAAAGTCCATGGATGTGGGCATAAGGCGGATGCAAGAAGAGGTACAAGGGGTAGGACAGAATTGGTGCTTATATATGGAGTCATAAACATTTTGCACAAGAGATACATATTGGCTGCTGCCCGTTTTGGGCAACCTCTCCTCGCTGCACCTGCTGTTGCTCTGGATTTGGTAATGTTGGGTGGTGATACATTTGTAATTTTCTTTGAAAGTAGGGTGGAAATTGTATGGCCCTCCAGATCTTGCTGGGCTGAAATTCCTAGCACTTCTAGCCAACAGAGCCTATGGGATCAAATGCTGGTAGCTGCATATCATCAGAAGCATCAAGATGGCCACATATTCCCACCCTTGTCATAAGAGGAGAAGGGGGTATAAGCATCAAAATTCTTTTTCCACATCCCCAACAGCAGGGTAGGATATGATACAAGATATAGTGTGATTTGCCAAATGGATAGGGCAGGAAATCAAGGATTTTTTTTTTAAGGAGAGGGGTTGTGCTCAGAACGCTCCATAAATACGATTGCTATTATTTCTTTCTGATATTTATTTATTTATTTCACATATTTGTATTCCAAGAAACATATTCTTGGATCCTGGCATGGGCATCTTTCAGGCTTGTGACTAGCAAGACAAGGGTTGCCAAAATGGTACGTGAAACCAAAACCTCAAACCTGAGCTATACAAGTATAGGATTAAGGTCATTGTGTCCATTTATCATTAAGGGGTATTAGAACACTGTCTGCCCATCCTGTCCCCAGCATCAAACACACAGCTGTTTCTCCCACTCTTTCATCCACACATATGTATCATACCCAATAAGGTTTCATATGAAGCTGGCCCCCCTTTTGCTTTATGATAAATTGTGTCCTACCTGCCAGGGTCATTATCAGGACATAAGGAATAAAAGGTGCAATTCCATTCCTCTTAAAGGCAGGCAGGGCTATGCTTTCATAGTAAGAGTAGGATAACGGCCAAAGACTGTAGAGGGGCCGTATCAATTATTTATATATATGAAATATGAAATGTGCTCATATTTACTTTGGCATATAAAGCAGGCAATCATTCAAGGCAGTTTGCTGCAGATATTTTTTTAGCAGACTAGTCAAATAGCTTTTTATACCAATTGGTAGTTAGCTTGAGAGACAAGCTTGAGGGCTAAAAGTCAGTGAATATATGGTCAAAGCTCTCTTTCAGCAAGTGGGGGAGAGACTGCCAGTTCACCCATTCAGAGGTGCTTCCTTAGCTTCTCACCTGAGGATTGCTGTGAAGCATTGGCTGTCATTAAGCAGAGGAAACTCAGGTGCTCATCTTGGATGTAGACTGGGATGTTACAATCTCTCAGTTTCTCTGGATTCCATCTGCCTTCACTTTCTAATTCCTTTTTATATGAAGACTATGTCCCTCTCCCTCCTCTTCCTGAAACACATCATATTTTTGTACATAGATTGTCTAATGCATGCGTTTCCCAATGTATTTTCCATTTTCACTCCTTGATTAAAGGGAGCCTGGGTGCATTTTTCAGTTTTGAGTTGTGCAAATTGATTAGCAAACAGTTCAAAAGGGCACAGGGGATGGATTAGCAAGAATCTGCCACTCACCGATTAGATAAATGTATTTTAAAATCTGGTTCATGCTAATTTCTTTATGATCGTCAATGTAGATAATTTGTAGATCAGTCATGGGTGCTTTTTCCCAAATAACAACCCCCCTCCCACTGAGCAACTTTTCTTTCTCTGTTGAACAAAGAAGCTGGCTACATTTTATTTCCCTTCTCTAGTATTTGATGACCACAGGTGACAAAGATGAGATGGATAAAGGTTTGGTTGCTTCATTATCTGTTTTTACCAGTGGTTTAAAGGGCAAAGCAATGCTCCAATTGCCAACCAGGAAGCGTTTTTTAAAAATCACCATGGGAGACAGGAACATTCTGCGCTGTTAAGCACCATCAACAGTGCAACCATCTGTGAAGTCCGGAGTACCATAGATGGCTTGCCTAGAGACCACCAACGCCGCCAGCTGTGGCAGCACATGCCCCTTCTGTGCCTGCATTTATGGACTGAACATGATTATCATCACACAGGGCATGCCATGTTTGTTGCTCTCCCCCTACTTCTTTCAACTGTGATAGAAAAACAGAAGGACAAACATGGAAGAGTCCCTCTATTCCCCCGTCCCTACCAGGTGGGCAGTGCTTCTTGCCTTGATCTTCTCTAAGTTGGAGACTAAGGTCAGGCCTTTCCCAGCCCCAACATGCGGAAGAATAAAGGGCAGCACACATGCCTTTAAATAGCCTTGCAAGGACATACTCTTCCACGAGGAATGCTTTGACAGACAGATTGGAACATGTTGTGTTTGTATTTTAGAGGACAGCGGATGGTGGAAATATAGCACTGGAGAAGGTTAGGATAATGCCTTAACCCAGCTGGTCAATTCAACTTGTAGCAGTCCAGACAAGGTGAAGAATCTCTTCCTTCATACTTAGCAACAACAGCAGCAGCAAAGACATCTGTTGCGGCGCTCATGACTGGCAACCCACCCCGGTCACGCTTGCCTCCAAGGTCATAGCAAGGGTGGCTCCTTTTTTTCTGCCTGTCTCCAGCACTTTCAGAGTCCAAAGGCTCTCCAAAGATATCAGTGAGCCACAAGGAGACTTCCTGTCTATTTGTCACCTTGGTTTCTCAGCTTCACTCAAGAGTACAGCCAAGGAGCTCACCGTAGCTGAGAGAGAGAGAGAGAGAGACTAGAAGCATGGTAGGAAAAAGAAGACAGGAAATGTTTGCAGCAAAAAAGGACACAATCAGCTGCAAGTATGAAAAAGAAAGAGTAGTAAGAAGAAGGAGAATATTATGCTGTCTCCTAGCAAAGTCCATAGGAATGCAGTTATCATTCACAGGACTTTTCTAAATTTTGCAATGCTGTTCCCATTTTTTAAAAACACGCAAACATGTGTAATGAGAAAAACAAATGCAAAACATGTATGTTAAGTAAAATTGTACAAAAATGAGTATTTTATAGAAAATTGCATAGAAATGCATATTTTAGAAAAATTGTCAAGGCTGATTCTCCTATTAAGGGGATAGTAATTATGCAGTGATGTCAACCACAGCCCACATGTGTTGCCACATTTTGTGTAGACAGAACCTAGAAAGGCAACTATGAACTGTAAAAATAAGGTATAATCCTTTGTACAATTTGAATGTAGAATTTAAATTTGAATGTAAAATTTATAATTTGGATGTAGA